TTGTGCATATGGTGATAGATATGGATTTATTTTCATTCTTCCTACAAGTTTATATCCAGTTATGCTGGCATCATTTGTTGAATATGCTTTCTTTTTTTCCATTTTATATTTTTAGCTTCTTTGTCAAAAGTCAGGTGTTTGTAGGTGTGTGGATTGATATCTGGGTCTTCTATTCAGTTCCATTGGTCCTCCTGTCTGTTTTTATGCCAATACCAGGCTGTTTTCAGTACTGTAGCTCTGTAGTAGAGTTTGAAGTCAGGGATTGTGATTCCTCCAGAAGTTCCTTTATTGTACAGGATTGTTTTGGCTATCCAGGGTTTTTTGCTTTTCCATATGAAGTTGAGTACTGTTCTTTCGAGGTCTGTGAAGAATTTTGCTGGGCACTGCATTGAATCTGTAGCTTGGCTTGCTTTTGGTAAGATTGCCATTTTTACTGTGTTAATTCTACCTACCCAAGAGCATGGGAGCTCTTCTCATCTTCTGGTGTCTTGTTCAATTTCAGAAATGAGAATGCTTATCCCACACTTGAGTTTATGAAGATGGAAACTTCAAGAAATCATTGAGTAATTTCTGCTGATAGATTTCTGGGAACCTGGTGTGTAAAACAGAGTTGACAGTAGTGGAGTGGTGTGTTGAAATTGGAGCGGTAGGGCTGCGTCCCCAGCACCCCAGCCGCCTGCTAGCTCATGCCTGAAATAACAACACACAAACTGTATTCATTTAAAGACTGCTTGGCCCATTTCTATCTAGCCTCTTCTAGGCTAATTCTCACACCTGGACTAGCCCATTTCTAATCATCTGTGTAAGCACCCCAAGGTGCGCTTACCAAGAAGATTCTAGCCTACGTCCATCCTGGGTCGGAGTTTCATCACGTGTGCCTGGGAGAGCAAAGCAGGGCCTCTGCTCCAGAGAGCAGAGCTGTCGAGTCTGAGCTCACTTCCTCTTCCTCCCAGCATCCTATTCTGTTTACTCCTCCCACCTATGTTTTAACCTATCAGGGCCAAGGAGTTTCTTTATTGCTTAACCAATGAAATCAACAGATTGATATATGACACTCCCACATCAGTGGTGTGTGGCTGGCCAGCCAACCACTGGTTCTCAGCCTGAAGCAATCAACAATGGGTGTCTTTGACTCCATGGTGGCATTCATTGGATTTCCTGGGAAATGAATCTGAATATCACAAGCGACATTTGAAAGAAATAGCAAGGAATCCTTGAAAATGTCTCCAGAATAGACAATTTACTTGGCAATATTTTCTTCTGATTCAAAATTCTTCGAGCAGCATTTCAGACGTTTGAGCAGCTGCCCTGTTCCCGACTAGTCATTTTCCAGGACTCTGGCCAAAGCCAGCCACCTTCAGACAGGTGTAACTGGATGCCGCTTACCCTCTGGTGATGGCGTTCTTAGGCTCTGTATTTCCCATCTCTGGAGGATTAATTAATGCTTGAGGATAAGAAAAATTAGAGGGGGGGGGAGACCGTGATTGATCAAGAAATGAAACAGGTAGTTATGCAAAGGATACGGGATTTGAGACAAACTGGGTAATTAGGGTTTTGTTTTCTGACCTGCAGGACAAGCTGATGAGAACACCTTATCCATTCTGAGCTTAGTTTAAAATATGTGACACTTCTGATCGAAGTTATCAGTTGCATAGTCTTGGTTCTCAAAATGAGAATTCCTGATCCCCGAAAGTTAATTACGTCCCTAAAGGAAACACCGTAAGGGAAACTGGAACACATACTCCAACGGTTTTGAAGCGGAGTGATGAGCAGGTAGTTGGGGAAGGTAAGGCAGACCATAAACAACTGCAAGTCTTCCCAGCCTCACCGAGCAGCCCGAGATCTGGCACAGGCAGCTTGCGGGCAGCGGTTCTCCACTGTCCACCAGGGGGCAGAGCTGCTCGGCACAGAAGGAGGAGAAACAAGACTGGTTTTCCCAAGAGGCAGATGCGTGACTAAGCGGAGAAGAAATCGTCTTGGAAGGAATGATGAAGTGTGTAATCTTTGCACTCACACTCCTGGTAGCTAATCGGAGGCCCTGAGTCCCGGATCTGCTGCTCTAGTTTAGATCTTTCAAAACCTCCCTGAAGGCAAGTGTTGAAAGCTTGCCCAGTCGCCAGCCTGCGACACCACTGGGAAATGGGGGACCTTTAGGTGAAAGGCAGGTCGTTAGGGTCATGCTCTTGAGGGCATCTTCGGACTCGGCCCTTCCTATCCTATGCTTCTTGGCTGCCATGGGACAAAGCCGCTGGTTTCTGCTGCGCCCACTGTTTTCTCTTGCCGCAAGCCCGGGCTAGAGATCGGCAGCTGAGGGCTAGTACAAACCTTCCCTCTCTAGAACAGCGGGCTCATTGGGGATACTCTGACAGTGGGTGGAAAGCTAACACACCGGCCATCGGTCTAGCTGTGCTACCACAGCTATGCTTCCTGTTTTCTGCAGCTCTCCGGTCGGTCTGGAGTCCCTGCCCGCCAGCTGTCACCGGTAGCGCCAGCCGGTGGCAGGGTCTTAATACACAAGAGCCACCATAGCAGAGGTGTTGGGAGTGTTCCGTCAGCTGCCTCAGCCCCGCCACGCCCACCGAGTAAGGACCTTTGGCTTCAGTTTAATAAGAACCACATTAGTTACCAACTGAATCAAGGCTTGGTGGCCCGTTGTGGTAAAGCAAATATTTCAGTAATACATATCTAAACTCTCGGACATTATGAGGGAATTTTGCATTGCGTGGCTAAGTTAACACTAAATATAGACCCACCAATTATGTGCTGGGTTTATGGGCCTCCTGGGAGCCCTTGTATGCAGCAGAAGATCAAACGACAGAAACGGTAGAAAGTTTTGCTGGCGTTGCTCCCGCGTAGTTGTCTTTTCCAGGCAACTGAGCAGTCACTTCACATTTTCGTAAGTAATCTGCATGCTCTTCCGTCCTGAGACTGAGCTACGATTCTTGAGTCCTAGGGGTTTTCACTGCATGGCCCTGTGCTTTCTGACTTCTCCTAGAAAAGATGTAGACTTGATTTTAAAAACTGCTTCCTGACTAGAGTGAACTCAGGAGTGCCGTTCTCAAGTGGCCCTGTCTCACTCAACAAAAGCATCTTGTTAAGCTTTGGATTCAGTCTCAATGGTATTCTGAGTTTGTAGTGTGCAATGTGGTGTGAGTTATTTTTCTGTCTGGACACCAACACGTGCAGGGGAAGTGCAGATTCTTGTTTTTTCAGAGACTATTTTCATTTGCCAAAATATCTATTGGTCAAAAAAATCAAGCAGCTATTAAATGGCAAAAGGCTCAGCTGTTAGCCGTGACCAAGAGCACAGGAAAACGAGATTACTTACACGTCTCAGCTCCAGGATTAGAAAGGCTTCCATGAAAGGCTGCTGCTTTGGTGAGTCAGTAGATCTGCACGGTGGGGTGGCGTAGGAGGGCCAGGTTAGTGTGACACCTGATGGGTAATGACACTCTGCGCTGGCCTTGCTGGTTGCTCCCGATTGCCCTGGTTCCAGCTGCCAAAGATAGCAACCGCGGGGTCAACAGCTGTGGGTTCTGGTTTTCAAGACGTGTGACCATTTACTAGCAGAGTCACTCAGGAGCCCTGCGTCCCCTAACTCTGTTTTCCTTGCTAGTTTGTCTTCTTCCATGGCTCAGTGCTGAGAAGGTATATTGAAAGACATCTACTGACGTGGGCTTGAGCTCACTGTAAAGATTTTCTTGCAATCCATTATTTACTTGGGTTGTCTTAGCTAAAAAAAAAAATCCTTACAAATTTATTACAGATTTTAAGTTATGAGCATGTTGTTGGAAGTGGGTACATGCTCACGTGGAGGTCAGAGGACAACCTGCAAACTTGCAGGAGTCCTTTCTCATTGAACCAGATGAAGGAGATTGAATCCAGGCTGTGAGGCTTAGTGCCTTCTGTCTCTCCGTCCCTTGCATTTCTTGGCATCACTTTCTTAGTCTGCAGCAAGGCTAGTAAATTTTATTAGCTGGACTGTTACTCTGAAAATAGGACTTTTTAGCAATGATTTTTCTAGCTGTGGTCCTCTCCTTTGTGTGCAGTTTTCTTTGCTTGTTTGGTTGTTGTTGTTGTTGTATTTTGCAACAGCAGTGACATTCCAGAGGGTGAAATTGGAGCCTGAGGATATTAAGTCAGACTCAGAAACGAACTGTGTCTCCGTTACCATGCCCAGAATAGAAGCTGTGTTTGCAGCAATGATCCCACCACCTGACACATACAGCTTATATTTTCCTGGTCCAAAAAAAAATAATGTTTGGGATAATAAGGACTACAGAGCCGAAGAGACAGAGAGCTCCTGTAGAAGGATGGCTAGGCAGCCATCAGCACTTGGCGGGCGGGGCTCATCCGCAGAGGTGAGGTTTGCTCGCTAAAGCACTTTCACCCCTGCTGCTGCTTTTGCTTTCAGTTGTATCCTGTCAATCATTCCCTTAGGATCGCTCCATGGAATATACTTGAACTTCTATCATTTCAATATTTAGCATGCTTGGCATTGTCTCAATGCATGCAGAGCACTGCGCATTCTTCCCAGTTAGAAATTCAGGAAGACGGAAACTACAAGTAGTGTATGACTTTCTGAGCATAGGGTGTTTCTTAGCTAGGGATCCACGGACACGGTTTACACAAGTGCCACGAAATTGTTGGTGCCACTGGGCAATCACTGGACTTTTGTTCTTTTAAAGACATTTTTTTAAATTAAACATTTATTTATTTATTATGTATATAATGTTAGAAGAGGCCATCAGATCTCATAGATGGTTGTGAGCCACCATGTGGTTGCTGGGAATTGAACTCAGCACCTCTGGAAGAGCAGGCAATGCTCTTAGCCTCCGAGCCTTCTCTCCAGCTCTGACATTTTTTATTTATTATTATTATTAGTGTGTGTGTGTGTGTGTGTGTGTGTGTGTAAGCCACATGTGTGTAGGTGCTCACAGAGGCCAGAGGAGGAGGCCAGATCCCTTGGAGCTGGAGTTAAAGGTGCTGTGAGCTGCCTGATCTCAGTGCTGGGAGCTGGGAACCAAATGCAGGTCCTCTGGAAGAGCAGCAAGCTTCCCTAATAGGCGAGCCATTTCTCCAGCCCTGAGGTTTTTTCACTTTTGATACTTTCCCCCCAGATTCTCTATGGCTGTATTAGCACCTTCCCCCATTTGGTTTCTCCCATCTCTATGGTTATTTTCATTCAGTGGTTGGGTCTTGAAAGAAATCTTTTCAGAAAAATGCTATCAGGAAGAAATCTGTTGCCACCTACAGCAGGCACAACATTTACAACCTCCTGCTTTCTCTCAGAATTATTTTAATTATGTGTTTGTGTGTCTAAGTATGTGCACGTGAGTGCAGGTGCCTGCGAAGGCCAGAAGAGGGAGCTGGGGCCACTGGAGCTGTACTTACAGGTGGTAGTGAGCCGCCAGACGTTGGCACTAAGAACTGAACTCGGAGGGCAGTGCTCACTCAGACGGTCTGAGCCATCTCTAGCCTCTGCCTTGACTTTCTAAAATGCCTTCTAGACCTCAGACCTTATATCACCCACTAACTCACTTTATGGAAAGAAAAAGACAAAAGCTTTCTTAGTCATTAATTAAGTTTTGGAAGCCTTTTCTTCACATCTTTCAATGGCCCAGGATCTCTTATATTAGATTGTGCAGGTGTATGTGTGTGGTATGTTTGTATGTGTGTGGTGTGTATGCGTGATGTGTATGTGTGTGCTCTGTGTGTGTGTGGTGTTTGTGCTCTGTGTGTGTGGTATGTGTGTGTGTGGTGTTGGTGCTCTGTGTGTGTGGTATGTGTGTGTGTGTGCACACACACACTCATGTAGGCAGGAGGTTAATGTCAACTGTATTCCTCTCTCACTCTCCACATTATGTTTGGGACAGGGTCTCTCTCACCATGGAGCTCACGGCTTTGGCTAGACTGACCGGCCAGTGAACCCCTCTGATCTGCTTGTCTTCCCCATCCCCATCGCTGGGGCTGTAGACGGCACCACTGCACGCAGTTTTTATATGCTCAGATGTGACGTCAGGACCTCATGCTTGTGTAGCAAGCATTTTGTAACTGAAACATCCTCTTCTCAGCCATGCATCAAAGCGGCATTGCTGCAGACTTGCCCAGTCTACTCAGGGTTTTCAGCGGGGAAGTGTGCTCTTGTGAAAGAATATTTGCACATAAACCTCAGGTGGAAAAGTATTTGTTACATAAGTGATCTCAGTTTCTCAGAAGCCAGATAGAGAGATCAGGTTCCAGAACTATCAAGATTCCTCTCTTGTTGGGCGGTGGTGGAGTGAGGTCAGGTGCCTGCCTGACCTACAGAGAAAGCTCCAGGCTAGCCAGGGCTGTACATTGCTGACTTTAAGCATTGGAGAGGAGGCTCAGCTGTTAGAGCACTTGCTACTCTTGCAGAGGACCTGGGTTCAGATCTAACCAGCCCGCACAGTGTAGTTCACAGCTGTCCCTGACTCTAGTTCCCGGAAATCCAGCTACCTTTTCAGGCTTCCTTGGGCACCAGGCATGCATGTGCTGCACATACACACATGCAAGCAAAAAAAAAAAATCAATAAAAAGGCAGAGAAAATAAAAATAATAATCATATCTGTGTAATAGCCCTGGCTGACCTGGGCTTTATAGACTAGGTTGACCTTGAGACTCACAGAGACCCACCTGCCTCTGCCTCTGGAGTGCTGGAATTAAAGGAGTGCACCACCATGCCCAGCCTGGTGGCAGATCCTTTCTTTAGTGCCTGTGTTTGCTAAGGTTTTGTCCTGGAAAGCCGCAGCAAGCACCTAATGGCTAAAGGATACATCCGGGGGCCAGGACTCATGCCAATCTGAAGAAAGCACAAACATGACCGTTAATATTTTCCCATTATTTTTGCTATGCGGGAGGAATGCCTGAATGCAGTGCCGTGCAAACGGAGGCCAGAGGACAGCTTGTCTCTTCCAGTCTTTCCTCTCACCACAGGGGTTTCTGAGACGGAACTCAGGTGGTCAGGCTCGGTGGCAAGTCCTGTTATCTTGCCAGGCCCCAAGACTGCAATTTTGTGTTCAATTAGGAACGTAGAAGGGTTTGTAGCTATCTATAGGTCTGTCTGCCCGTCTTTATGGTCATTTGTTGGCTAACTTGCCTTGTCTTTATAATTGTAAGTCGTGTTTTTGCACAAAGGACTTGAAGCATGTCGAACTAAGAATCATCTGATAAGAGAGACACCCTTTGAAAGGCAATTATGAGGTAAAAAATCAGACCCAGGGAAAACAAGAGGCAAGTTGGAAGCCCAGGAGGAGGGAACATAGCAGATACACACGTAAGAGCTGCTGGATGCTAACTGCACCTCCGAGTCTGGCAAGCAGAGGCCAAAGAATAGCTGCTACAGTGGCCCACTGAGGACATACTTCTCCTAACCACAGCCCTTTTAGACCCATAGCACAGCATTTGTTGTCTTCCTGCTGCTCTGGTTTGTGCCTCTTCTTCCTGATGGTGGCATTTTCTTTCAGGGACAATGATTCACTCCTCCCGGGATGTTGGGCCTCACGGCATCCATGAAGAAGGAAAGCTCTATGTTGTGGATTCCATAAATGACTTGAACAAACTCAATCTCTGTCCGACAGAATCGCAACATCTATTCTGTATGTATGATCCTGGAAGTGTTTCAGGCTGCCACGGCTTTGGGACTTCCTAAAAAACATCAAGAACACAGTTGGGTGTGTTTCCTGTGGCGGGGGCAGGGTGGTCCTCGGCAATCCCTGAGCCCTAGAAATGCTGTTTAAACAGCCTTTTGTTTTATGCTCCCAATCTTTCAAAGGATTATTGGCTTTATTGGCAAGATCTGAACACTTAAAAATTCCCGAGAGAAGCCAGGCCCGCTGGCCCACACTTTGAATTCCAGCACGGGGAAGGGTGAGGCAGGAGGGGGACACGTTTCAGGTCAGCCTGGGCTATGAGAGGTAGTTCCTGGTAGCGGCCCCTTAGTAGGCGCCCACTCATGTCCTGATTTTCCCTTTAAAACTCCTGGGGAAGACCCCTACAGTGTTGTTGTCACGGGGCAGGGTGGAGGATGCAGACCTGGCCTCCCAGGACCTGCTCAGTCCCTCTTAGCTTTTGCGCCTCTTGGTGACCATGGTTAGGTTCGTTATATTCTCTGCTTCCCAGGAGCCTTGTGTTAGCAGAGAATGCTGAGAACAATGTTCAACACATTTACTAGTTTATAAATAAAACCGTTATTGTTCTGATGTGCAAAGAGCCAACTTCATTTTCTACTTACTGATTACAAACTGCCCAATTAAAGTGTTAGAAGGGACGTGAGAGCGAAACGAAAATCTCCTGAACACAAAGTGTATCTTGCACCCTAAGTGTTGGAAACCGGCCTCTCAGGCTCCCAGGGCCCCAGCCCTTTCTAGTTTAACTGACGAGTATTCGAACACAAGTATTAACACTTGCTGTTTGCTTCACAAGCGCTCGAAATTGTTTAGTTTTCTACCCATCATTCCCCTCTGTCTTTTCCAAGTTCTTCCTTTTGTCCTTGTTTCAACGGGTTCAGATCCTCGTCTGTTGATCGCAGTGGGCGTTGCTGTCAGCCTGTGGTGTGGCTTTGCTGAGGAGGCTGAAGCTGTGGAGAGGATGGAACAGGAGATGCACTTGGTTACATAATCAAGCAGTGCAATGTGTGGGACCAATTCAGAGAGGAGGAGAATATAAAATGTAATCCAGCAATCTCCCTACCCCAGGGGCTTGCAGCTCTTATTCAACTTTATCTGAGCATTATTGGGCACCTAAGAGTTGCAAAGTAGCTAATGAGAGGCAATTCCCAGCACCAAGTGCTGAGAAGAGAGCCTCACCCCTAGAGCAAATCTATCTTGGAAATAGCTTTAAGAAACCAAAACACCCCAGGGGCTCTTTTTGTCTAATGGATACAGACCTAAGTGATTATTCTGATAATAAAAGCAATTTCCTGAGAGACACCACACAGTGTTTGGTCTTCCACACAGGGAAGGCATCCTATACAGCTCCATTAAGATCACTTAGGGGATGGGCAGTTGAGTTCCCACCAATTTTCTATTCCTTCTCCAAAGAATAATTCAAGCCACTCTACTCCACAGTTAACAGTTTGCAAAGATCCTTCCACACATGTCCAAGAACACAGCCGAAGCCTACTCATTCTCTCAATTCTAACAGGAAAGATAAACAGTTCCAAAATCGCTCTTCCAAAGGCACCCCTAATGCAGAAGTCACATCCCAGGGCTGTCCAGGGAAAAAGGGTGCCACTACATCTCTCTGTGTGGTTCCGAGATTCTGTCGCTTTCTCTCTTATTAGCGTTAGAGGAGAAAATCTCAAACACTGCTACGCACCCAGGAAGTGGAAGACGTGGTCTGTTCTTTGTGGGACTGCTCCTGATGTTGACGGTCAGCCTAGCTCTGGTGTTCTTTGCCATCTTCCTAATAAGTGAGTACTTCAGGCAGGCTTGTCTCTATTTGTGTGTGTGTCCTTTGTAGCTGACTTCATAGCTAGCTGCTGCTGCTCGAGTGAGCAAGCACTTTCTGGCAGTCAGTTTTCAGCAAAAGCCTGGGAGAGACCCAGTGTCTCAAGGGCACCTTGTTGCTCCTGGATAGGGTCCTTGGGCACAAGTCCACAGCGTGCTCCCACAAGGTCAGGCCATTTCTGCTACATATTTATATAAGCTTTGAATTTGCTCCAAGCTGTACTCAAGTTATCCTGCTTAATTTTAGTTTTCTTTACTCAGTACGTCGATGTCTTCATTACATTTAGACATAGCATACATTTCCTGAGGTTTTACACTCCCCCTCATGGTTTCTCATTTGTGTACCACCCCAGAGTATATCAGTGTATCAGTTCAGAGTAGCAAGGTCTCAGGCTAATGGCCAGAGTCAGTGCTGGGGAAGTGAGGGTAGGCCACTTCTTCCTTGTTTGGTGCTGGTTCCTGTCCTGTTTGCTCTTGGCCTGGGAGATACATGTCATACCCTTAATTGGTGACAAGGAGTCTTTCCCACATCTGCTCCTCAGTGCAGAGACCCCTAAGCAGATTCATGTCAGCTTCCTGTCTGCTTTGGAGAGCAGGAGAGGAGCTGCCTCTCTGTGATGTGTGCATGGGTGTGTGTGCATGTGTGTGTGTGCATGTGTGTGTGTGCATGTGTGTGTGTGCTTGTGTGTGTGTGCTTGTGTGTGTGTGTTTGTGTGTGTGTGTTTGTGTGTGTGTGCATGTGTGTGTGCATGTGTGTGTGCATGTGTGTGTGTGCATGTGTGTGTGCATGTGTGTGTGTGCATGTGTGTGTGTGCATGTGTGTGTGTGCACATGTGCATGCGTCCATGCATGCATGCGCTCCTCCATCAGAGCCACCACAATTCTCTCTCAGGCGACCCTTTTATACCATTATCTGGAGTTATTGCTACTTTCTCCCATATCACAGAAAGCTATAAGCAACTTGGGATAGGGAGGGTCTTATATTTCTTTTCAGTTTTTATTTCATGTGCATTGGTGTTCTGCCTACATGTATGTCTGTGTGAAGGCATCAGATCACGTGGAACTGGAGTTACAGATAGTTGTAAGGTGCCATGTGGGTTCTGGGAATTGAACCTGGGTCCTCTGAAAGGGCAACCAGTGCTCTTAACCCCCGAGTCCCTTCTTCAGCCCCAGGGAGGGTATTTGTGTTTGACACCATTTGGACTGGTAGCTTATTTCTTCCCTCCTGCCATTTCTGCTTGCTTATGGTAGCTGACATTTTTTTTTCTTTTTGAGATAGGATTTCACTACGTACCCAAAGTTGGCCCTGAATTTGAGATCCTCTGTCCCACCCTTTTGAGCTCTGTGATTGCATGCCTGCACCACCAGCCTGCCTTGCCTTCAGCCATTTTAAATGAGAGACAAAACACGTCTTTGCAATGCTTCCTATTTAAGATCCTTTAGGAGCAGAGGAGGTGGAGCTGTTGGTTGTGAGAAGACTCCTTTCGGTGTCTGAGGCTGGGTGTGTAAGAAGGGGAATTGTCTAATTTTTTCCTATGGAGACAAGAAAAAAAATGTCTATTCGCCCCACCCAGACAGACCAAAGAGCTGACTGCAGTCTGGCGCAGTTTGGTGCGCAAGGAGTTTACTGGAATTGTCTGTGCTACCACCGTGTATCAAAGGTGTGGCAGCTGCTTTTCTGCTGTTCCGCTAGAACACGCAACAAAAGACAACTTAAAGGAGGGGACTTGGGAGGGTCTCTAAAAGGTTGCCTAGGAGATACGCAGTAGAGTCTTCCTCAGTTTTGGTCACCCCTCTAGGGTAGTACCCAAATGAGACCTAGGACCCTGTCCAGGTTTCTCTGTGTAGCAGCCTGTCCTGGAACTTTGTAGACCAAGTTAGCCTTGATTTCACAGAGATCTGCCTGCCTCTGTCTTCCGAGCACTGGAATTAAAGGTTGTGTGCCACCAACTGCTTTGGGTTTTGATTTGGTCTCACTGGTTCTTTTGGTGTGTGGGATCTGCTCCCATCTGCTTCCTGAGTGCTGGGGCTGTGAACCACGCTCTTCTCAAGTGTTTTACGGTGAGGCCAGGAAGCGAGGGGAGGGACTGAGCGGGTCTTTAAGATGGATGAGAGGGCGCACACTTGTAACCCCAAAGCTTGGCAGACAAGAGATGGGGAAGCATGAGTTCAATGCATACTTTTGTTGTTCAAGTGAGCACCCTGGGTCAGACATGTTAATCTCATTATGTTTTATGTGAGTGTGTATGTATGTGTGTATATGTTAGTGTGTTTCCATGTTCATGTGTATGGAGGTAGAGGTAGGTGTTGGGGCCCAGAGAATGTCATTTTCCAGATAACAGAGAAAACCATCCCTGAGAAAGGTCCTGGAGATGACACTGAGAACTAAGTTTCCAGCAGGCTTGGGGATTCGCTGATGCTCAGCACTCACAGGGCTCCCTCTGCTGGCCCTGCTCTAACAGTCGGCTTTCCATTCGAAGTTCAGACAGGAAACCAGATGGAGGACGTGTCAAGAAGACTGATGGCTGAGGGAAGGGACATAGACGACCTTAAGAGAATCAACAGCATGATCGTAAAGCGGCTCAACCAACTGGACTCGGAACGGAATTGAAATGATTTCCCCTTGAGTGACCACGGATAGCAGGAGCTTCTCAGCTTCCCCGGAAGTACATAGGACTGAGAAAGTGCGCTTCTTCAGGTGGTGGATCCGGCAGATCCGCTCTGACACCCGCCAGTTCAAGGATGAAGATCGCTACGAGTTTAGAGGCGGCAGCCGGAGAAAGAGGAGAACTAGATTCAGGCTGATATCCTGCTAACCGGTTGCTTCAGCTTTGGTGGGGTTAGGGTGGTGGGTGGGTAGCGTGGAGAGGAATCAAGAGCGAGAGAACTCAGCCCTTTACGTGCAACTGCCTAAAATGAGCGTGTTTGAGAAGACTTCCAGCGTCCTAGTGAGGTCTATGATGCCTCAGGCCCATGTATAGATTCCTGCTTACACCTAAGGCCTCCGCAAAACTGCCCATGCTGCGGTGAACCAGGCGGTCACTTTTTTCAGTAGCACACAGTCTTCTGTGGGGTGACACCCTTCCACTACAGCTTTCTAGCGCTGTTGTCTGCTGCTCCCAGGGAAAACATGGGTAGCAGCGGTGTGTGTGCTGAAGTCGAGGGACAAAAGAGAAAGCCTACTACGGTCCACGACTGTCTCCTGAGCTCTCTTTGTGATAACCATCTGGTTCTAGAGACTCTCCCATGCATCCGTGGGAAAAGACAATAATGTCTATTTATGCATGATTTATAAACTCTGTTAAGCTTTGTCATGGAAAAAAAACTGGTATCTTGCTGATGACTTGGAAGAAACTGGCTAGGTGTGTGTGGTCTTTGCCAAATTAGAGTAGAACATTGTGTATTTGGGAACATTCTTGTTTTAGCATGTAAGAATAAAGTATGCTTGAGCCAGGCGGTGGTGATGGTGGCGCTTGCCTTTAATCAGCATGGTATACTTCATTGTGTCTGTTCTAATTGGTAATTTTTTTGCTTCCCCAAAAGAGTTCAGATCCACTAGCATTTCAGTGAGCTATTGATAGCCATTAAGTCCTGAGCGCCCTAACCACTCTCTGTGGTACTGGCTGGGTGCTCTGCACAAAAGCACAGCGGCTGGCTTTTCAGCAGGCTCCTGTCTTCAGAGAATACAAGTTTTCTGGAAGATGTATACACATAATTAAAAATGCAAGTATTCTGCATGCCAGAGAAACAATTTCATTTTTAACTGCGTGTCTGTGTGTCTGTGCGGACATGAGTGAAGGTGCCCCTGGAGATCAGAGACAGTCATTGGATCCCATTACTTTGGGTTTACAGGTGGCGCAAACCTCCCTGCAAGGGTCTTCCTCAAGAACAATGTGGTTCTTAACTGCTGAGTCATCTTCCAGCCCAATGGCTGTGACGTAGACACAGGATCCGATAGCAGGAGCTGTGTGGTACCTGTGATGGTTGAGGCAGCCATGAGCACAGGAGAAATGACGTATGGCACCATGGCACCCTGTCCTTGTGTGTGTGCCTGGGTAAAATGTCAGACCCCTCCTTAGCTCCTGGGATGTTTACACTCGTCCTTCAATCTCTTTCCAAATCAAACCCCACACTCCTTTTCTGTTAGAATCCGCTGACGATCTTGCTCCCCAACCAGCACTGCGGTAACTGTCTTACTACAGACTTACAGCTTCTCTTTTTGTGTCTAATTCCCAGGGGACCTTAAAGGCAATGCTTGTCAGTCAATTCTTTGGAAATTGCTGCTCCCCAGCACATGGCATTTGCTATGACAAAGGTCCTCAGTAAACACAGCAATGGTTCTTCTCTTCCTTTGCACATACACTCTATGCCATTTCTGAAGCCCTTTTCCTGCTTCGTAAGCCGTTCAAAGATTACCATCGCCCGGAGAGCAGCCAGTGAGTGCACTGTTTCTTTAGAGACAGACTTCACCCATTCCCATGCCCGCGGCAAGTTCTTCCAGGTGAAGACACCCCTACATACTGCACCACGAGCTCTCAGTTCTCAACAGGTGAAAAACATCCTATAAACCCGACTGCCTAAATGAAGGTTAACGCTGGAAGAAAAGCCCGCTGACCAAGGACTGTTCAAAAAGAAAAATGGAGGCTTTTAGGAAATAAAGCTTTAGCTGGTTAGCTCCAGCAGCCATCCAGAAAGCCTGCCTTCTTTGCCTCCAACTCCGTTTCCGTGTCTGGATTCACACAAAGCGAAGTTAATGTTTGTGGAGCCTGGAAGATGCATGTGGGCAGGGAGTACTCAGACCTAGAACTCCATGACGCAGTCAGGTAAGAAAGCGGGTTTGATTCTCAGCAGCTTGAAGCAGACCAGGGGAGACACACTTTCACCCTTTTCTTAGTTTGGACAGATGCTATGTAACCAAAACCGTGTGTATGTTATATGTATGTGCTTGACTGAATAACGTATGTAGTTCAGACTGGACAGCAAGTTGTTTCTGATGGGTTTTTCTGCATGGTGAATGAGCCAGGTCTGGGAGGAGTTCCTTAAGTTTGAAAAAAAATATTTTAGGTATGATTTGAGAATGAGACATCACTTGTCAGGAGTGTGTAATATAAAACTAATAAAAGCAAATTCATTGAACAAATGGATGGATGAATGAAGGTTGCCTGAAAAGGATATCGACTTATTTTAATGTTTTATTCTAACGAGCAATCATTTAATGTATAGGCAAGAATTGGTTTATAATTGAAAGGAATGTCAGAAACATCAGAAGCAGAAATGAGGTCAAAAACAATTCTATCACTGTATGAATATATTCTATATGAATATTTATAATTTCAGCGTGTGGATATGACTCTTCCTATGCAAAGAGAAAAACAAGAGGATAGATAGATAAAGCACACATGGGAGAAGAAGAATGAACTTCCTCTTGTACTATAGTAAGGCAAAAGCATGGCTCCCAGGGTCAGATTATTTCCGTTTCCATCCTCCTTGGTGGCTGTGCATGAACTGTGCAGCCTCTTTCCTTATTTGTAAATGGGACAACACTATAAATTCTAAGTACCGATGAAAGTGACGTGCTTACAACTGGGGTTGGCTTGTTTAAACAGTCAACGAATGCCAACCGTATGACACTTGTTATATTTGATAGTGTAAATAGAGAAACCGTGGACCATAAATGTCCCGCTCAGGGCATCAAATCATTCCCTTTCAAAATGAAATACATTACTGTGGAAGATGGGGAGTCAATGAAACACGGTTTCATTTGAGAGTGGTTATCAGTTGTCCACAGCTTCTGGGGATTGTTTAAATATTTCACCAGTCCTAGATGGAACTTTATGTCTTACGAAGTAAAGTTCAAGGAATGAAGTTCAGTTTTACTTTATTGGAATTAGTTTTTGTGAGTCAACGAGCTGCATAGTGTTATAACCAGTATAACCACCAGATGGCAGTATTGGTATAGGATGATTCTACTGTGGCCTTCCATTCTGGACAACAGTAGTCTTTGGGAAGGTCCGTGTTCCCTGTGCGCTGGGGAAGACTCCAAGGAACTCACTAAGAAGAGCGCCATACTGAACTTTGCCGTGTTCACTATTCCGTTCCATGTCAACTCAGCTTTTGAAGAGAGAGCCTTGTATTTTATTGGAACATACAAATTTTATTTCAGTTCAGTTTAGTTTACTTAACTAATTAAAAAAAAACTTACTTGTTCTACTTATTAAAAGCAATCCATCATTACTCTGCTTTAGGAATGTGTCAATAATTTTATTTCGAAATAAGTTCAAAACAAACAAAAACAAACGAACGCTCTCCCCCCCCCCCAAACACAAGTAAACCCATCAGGAATTAAGATTAAGCTGCCAACTTGACGGAACATCTCAGGCTATTGGTTACTCTCCATAAACTGGCAGCAAGGCCCTGTCTTCAGCACCACACAACTTGTCGAATGTGGAAAGGTGGAGATGGTGCCTCCCTACAGCATAAACCTCTGCAGACTGCTAGGAGGTCTATATGCTTCCAAAGGAGAAAGGTAGACACCAGCCCAGCTACAAAGTCTTTGTGATCTATAGTGTGTTGGCTACTGTAACAGTGGCACAAAGTTGTAGGAGTAACCAACCACTATCTGACTGAATTTAAGGCCACTCCACGAGACGGGAGCATCCGTAATACTGTTGGGTACCCAAGAACCAAAGACCAGATAGTCTAGTGAAAAACCAAATACTATCATTCTGCTAAAAAAATCAAGTAGCTGTAAAATGACCTGTAATTTTGTTCTACTATACTCATAGATCAGTTTATGCTCAGACATTATCAGAGACGCCTTCTCCTGGACTAGATGAGAACAAATTCACAGCAGGACAAAGTGAACAGAGAAAGACAGACCTTGGAATACTTATTCCTAAATGGGATGTCTCCATCAAAACCCTCCCTTCAGGGCACACAGAACCCAGCAGAAGAGGCGGTGGAAAGATCGCAAGATCAGAGGGGATGGAGAAGGCCAAGGAAACAAGACCTTCTACACAGAGCAGGACGGATGAACTCACGGAGACTGTGACAGCGTGCAGTGTCTGCACAGACAGGGTCCCAGCGCCGAGAGGAGGAGTGGACACAGCCCCTATCCTTAACACAGAGGCTATGTCTAATTGGTAACCATGCTCAAATAAAAACACCAGTTCCTCCAATGCAGTCTCACTGGGGATACAAACCACTCCTAAAGCCAGGCCCGGTGCCCAGCATTAGATGACCAACAAAATGAAATCAAAAGACATCTTTGGAGGGTCATTGTTTCATAAGGATTTGATGATATATCTTTAAACCTTAGAGTTCCTTCGCATATATTATGACTTCTGGCTTGCGTTTTTAGGGAATTCTGTGTGTATGAACACGAGTCTCTCCATCTTCATGTTTCTCTTGAGCTTTTCCTTTGGCTCCTCTCTTTCTGTTTATCTTATTATTGTCCTCCAGATGCCTATATGTTTTCTAGTGAGAGACAGAAAGGTGTGGATTCTGATGAGAGAGAAGTTAGGGCGAATCCCGGAGAAGCTGGGGGAGGTGAAACCATAATCAGAATATATTATATGAAAAAAATCCATTTTCAAAAGAAGTAAAAAGTGATTAAGTTGCCAAACTTTGAGTACATATTTAATTTAATGCTGCTTAAGACACACACTATTTATGATTTATTCATACAAAGGTAATTGAGTTCATCACCACCATAATATGCTTTCTATGCAGTAGCTAAACCTTAGATTATCCTTTCAAATTTTCATCTATTATTTTTAGGCTCTAATGAAAATCCTCAAAGCTCCATTTGTCAGTGAAATATCTAATGTTGGGAAAAATACAATTTTAACATTAGTATCAGCATTAATGTAATCCCATCCTTTATGCCCTTATAGTACCAATCTTGTTTAGCAAACTTTTTAAAGGACAATTTTTTATTTTGTGAATATTTTGTTTAATGATGTTTTTTAAACATAACATGCTCAATAATTATAATTCATCTTCTTTATTTTATTATGCTCGTTTGAAGTGAAAATTTTGTGTTATTTCATTTTTCTTACATTTTGAGGTTAATATATCGTTTCTCTCTTCCCTTTCTTCCTGTCAAACCCTGCTATGCACCTGCCATATTATCTTCCAATTCACAGTCTCTTTTTCATTAACTGTTGTGACACACACATTGTGTGCATGCGTGTGTGTGTGTGTGTGTGTGTATTCCCCATTGTGATAATCTTAGTCTGTAAAATGTTATTCATACATATGTTCTCAGAGCTGATGCTTTGGTATTGGATGAGCAGTTAGAAATAAGACTATTTCTCTTAGCGTCCCTTAGTTGCCTGTGATTCTCTGTGTAGGGTTGAGGCCTTGGGCTTTTCCAGTCCTCTTTGTCATGTTCCATTACTGGCATCCTTGTTCAGTTCCCAGGCAGTTACGTGGGCGAGACTTTGAGCGTAGCTTTTGACATTCCTAGGAGATACAACCCCACCGCAAACTCTATGACCTCTGGTTCCTACAGTCTGTCTGCCCTCTCCACTGGGGTTGGGCTCCACCCCTGCGCATTTTGACTGGCGATGGTTTTCTGTAATGGTTTCCACCTGTTGCAAAGATAAGGACTACCCTTATCTGTGGGCACAAGGACAGATGTT